TGAGAGTCAGTTGATTAAAGTGGCAATAGCTAGTATGCACCTACCTTCACTATGTTGTTGGGAATATTTGGGGTCTTGCAGATAATGTTGAGACAAATATTCTGAGGTAGACTGGGTTTCTACCATGGAGCGATATGAGAATCTTTCTGGTATCTCAATTGAGCATACCCAGGTATTTCTACCCCGTATGCTATGGGATTGGTGAAGTACTTCTTTAAGCTCTGCAAATGATCCTGGTAGATCCTGGTCATTTCCAGCAAGTGGCGGCAGAATAAAAGTGGCACCATCAGTAAATGACGGGATACCAGCATCCGCAGGTGTTTGCCAAAAAATAATGGAAGTCATGATCAAGCAGATACCTCTACGATCTGCTTCATTCTTTGGTGAAAGTGTTTTTGTAGCTGTGATTCCACCATGGTGGAATATCAAATACCGTAGCTCGTGCTTTCGATAGTTGATAGAGATGGAAAGTGAGAACAACCGTAGTGGAACAGTGGCCATCTCAGCTCTTCCATATGTTGCACTTTGCCAAAGTAGTCTACTCGGTTCCCTTTTGGCCTCCACTGCAATTTTGATGAGAGCTTTCGACTTGTCCTTCTCGTATACATCGAGGGGAAATTTCCAGTAGCATGTCGAGGGCGGGGTCTTGTTCTCAACTCCAACCAGGTCGATTGCTGCATCATCTATGCCATCGCCTGCGGGTTTATCATACTTGTAGAAGACTAGATGGGGCCAGTACTTCTGATCAATTTTAGCAAGAGAGAATTGAGATTTGGACCGCGATCGTCTACGACTGTCAAGCACAACGGAGTAAACCTTGTTTGCAGCTTGGACACAATCGTTGAGGAATTGCACTAGATCTTTGTAATATTTGCACTCGTCGTCGCCAGCAGCACCAGAGGGTTTGTACCCGAGCGGATGAGTTTTCATCTGCTGTTTGAACGCTTGTTGTACATCCACGTCGTCAATGAGAATATGATAGTCATCGAGAGAGAGGGGTTCGAGAGGACCGGTGACAAACCCCTCCTCTTCTGAAGACAATGTGACGGAGGATTTAGATTTTTTTGGGGAGAGCATGCGTGCCACACGTGTGGCGTTAAACTCCCAGGCTTGCTCTCCGACTTCCTTCTTCAACAAATCTTCAAACTCATTTTGTGACCGTGACTGAGTAGTTGAAGATGACCTGGCCGGAGTACTTGATTTCTGTGGTATAGATTGAAGGGACATTGTGATGACACAAATTTTGACGTTCTAAGAAATGCAAGCAGGCAATGACGATGATAAACTTCACAGTTAGTGCGCGAGTTGTTCGTGAGTCGAGTACAGCGTACCGAGGATGAGAGCTGTTTACAGGATCAGAGGTAAGAACTCTTGGATTGGGAATACGAAGAGAGAAAAGACTGACTTTTTATAGTTTGTTGAGAGTTGTACAAAACAAATACAGATCAGTGGACATAGCACACACTGAAATACATGTATCAACCAGGGAATGTTTGAATAACTTACCATAGTTGCAGACATTGGAATGAGAGACCAAGAAGGAGTCGATGTTGGAATCGATAAACAAGGGTGGACTGTGGTGGCACTCAATTGAAAAATACAGTATCGGAGACGGCATCCGTGAGCCGAGTTCTACATACGAGTCGTAAGTCGCTGCTTTTTTCGCCGAGCGTTCTATCGAGGTGCTCAGTCTGTATCGCCTTCACACTCGATTCAGCAGAACGATTTTTTTCCAGTCCCAAAAATCATCATTCTTTTCCCTCCTTCCAATTGATCAAGCGCACGGCTACTGGAGTCTAGCAATCATTGAAAGTCGCCGACAAGGTCAACGAGCGAAAGGCTTACTGCAGGCCGAATGTAGAAAGCTATGTGGCCGGATCGCGATACAATGGCAGATATCTGTGTTGAGCTACAACATGATTACGGTTGTGGGACCATATCAGTAAGACACTCCTACACTTACTATGAAATGATTCAGCTAAGCAGAAATTGCCAGGATGAGTGCGAACCCACCAACGGCGGCGCAGGCAGTAAAACGTCGTGGAACTCATAAAAATGAGCAGCTAAACCATCAAGCCGAAGTGTTTACATTAAATCCTTATCTTCAGATGTTCTGGCCAGCCTCCGCTTCAATCCTAGCACTCAGCCTTCGATCTCGTATCTCCACCTAACTCGATGAACTCATCCGTATGTAGCTCAATACTCCTCCGTCTCCACGGTGATTTCAAACATTTCCTCCGAAGAAGGCATTCTGAACAGCCGTGCCTCCCTCATACTGGGACAGAGGTGCAATGGAAGCTTCGATAACGCCCGCGCACTCGCAGAACAACGGTTAGCGCTGAGTGGAAGAGGTGGTTGTGGTTGACTATGCAAGCCACTGAAAAGCGAACGACGTTGAGATCGAGCATGTTGTGGCCACTGAACCGTGAGCGGCCGTAGTGTTTTTGAGCGAGATGTTTACAAAAGTTCGGGCTGTATGAGATGAAAGATGTAGCTCAAGTTCGTGTTATGAGTAGAGTAGAACTTACACTGCAAGTATGGAATTGGCGTATCCTGATGTACCTATGCATACTCACGTCGACGATGAAGTACAGCCCCATGAAGACGACGTCGCTTTGACACCCAGAGAAATCGTATCGTCAAAAGTGACTACAGTGGATTGACTCTGAGAGGTGTTGGATAGGAACTACGAGACATTGAAAAGGTTTAGCCTATGACATTGGAAAGCGATATTGATATAATAACGTGGTCGTTCCAGTACCCAGTTGGATGACAGACCCCCAGTTAGAAGACGCGTGAGTCTTCGTGATCTGTATCTCAGGCTCCACTTGCGCAGAGCCGTTGCTGTTGTTCTTTGAAGAGCGTGAGGCAAAGATCGAGTTGTTGCCTGAAGCACAGAAGATGCCCCCCACTGACGCGACTTGGGTTGGTTCGCTTCTCGTTTCGAACGTGTTTGGCCTCTTGAAAAAAGGCTTTGGGTTCCGCAGGGCTTGAAGTGGGCGAGAGTCGGAAGGTTCTGCGGGAATAGATGTTACGGACGTTGTAGTAGATGATTGAGAGGAAGGCACTGTTACTGTTGATGATGAAGCTAGATCGGCTGCCTTCGAGCTCTTTTTCACGCTGTTAACGGCGTCGTGAGCGATAGCTTGTTCAAATCTACAACACGGTTCAGGAGGAAGACCAAAATTAGAGTAACCAGCTTACGCACCCTTTTCTGCTTCCGTGAGTTTTCCAAGAGCTTTTCTGGCCTGAGCCCTTCGAAACAGGGCTTTGACATTGGTCATATTCTGTACGGTGTTAAGACCTTGGTACAGTCTCTCTCAGCATCCTCGTTTCTGATATTTGTCAAATAAGATTGTAGAACATCAGACGAAGTCCGTAGAACGTACTTGCCTAGCTTCAGACAAGCAGCGGCTCGATTCAAGGGAAATGTCCAATCGTTGGAGTCTTCGAGGATAGCTTGTGTATAGTGTCCGATGGCGGATGGGTAATCGCCCTTCTTGAATTACCCTTTATGAATACGAGTCAGATTCTGATAACATGCCAGTTAAAAAGTGTTCTTTGCCTCGTCTTTTGCAGCTTGAGCCTTCGAGTTCGTTGGGGGCATGAGACTCGAGAGGAGAATAGTGCACAATCGTTTGAATCGATTGTGGGAATCTTCTCTTTCAGGCTGCAAACTTCTCACGTACTGTATTCGCTTCGAAGTCCATGCAACATACATGTACAAGCATAATATTAACAGAGCAAGCTGGACTACACGGCCAAGGCTGAGAAAGGATTCCGACTAAGCGCATAATTAGCGTGATTCCAAAAAAACATAATCTGTAACAACTCCTTCCCTCATCTGAAACCAAACCAAATCCTTGCATTTGGGGTGTACCTGTAATCTCAATCCAGTCTTAAATCATCCATGCCTACTTCTAGATAGACTCCAAATACAGCTGCAGATTCAAACTGAGTTATCTTCAATCTTGCTCTCGAACCAAATTTGATGGCTGTGCAACCACGGTTGGATCTCACGGTTGAATTTTGAATTTTTCTCATTCTTTCTTTCAACTTCGTTGTCCTCCGGTTGTCCTGCGCAAAATCTCTGCAATTCAAGTCAAGCAGCTCACGCTTTCTCAAGAAGCAAGATATATCTCAAACTTGCAAGACTCAATGCTATCCTCAAGTTCTTCAACTTCAGAAGTGATCTTGTCCGACAACAAAGATTTCAAACTCAAAGATCAAACTGCAAGAGCCAAGATTCAAGTCTTTCGTCTCAAGGAGTCAAGAATGAAGAATCAAAAATCATTCCATGGCTTCGCCCTTCGGTGATAAGTCCAAGAATCACACCATACCTTTGAGACTACCGCGGCCATAGCAGATAACCGCAGATTATCAATGGTTGGTTTATCATTGTCATTGTAATGGGTGTGTCTTCATCATATTTTTTTTGTCGTTGTCTGATAGTTGTTCACTTGTCTAGCCTTGCTTGCCTAGCCAACAAGAGCCAACACCAGTTCTCGCAATTTCACTCCGCACAACGAATCATGCACACTATCACAACCCGAGGTCCAATAGGTATGCAATATTTTGACTGGAGCAGGCTCTCTCTTTGTATAATACTATATCTTCCATGGACAAGACATGTGATCATTCAAACTCTAATGTGCGCAGTGTGAATTGAGTGAAGGGAGTGTGCTTGAACTGAATCGGAAGATGTCGGGCAATGGAAGGAAGGAAACGGGGTGAAACACTGTTGGAGCATATCCATATGTAATCTTTGGTTGGAGTCTATAATTTACCGGTTTGAGCCCAAAAAAACTGGGTAGGGTTGAAAACGGTTCATCCCTTATCGAAAAGAAACCAGACTCATATTGGATTGGAACCGTCACCTGTCAAACCAGTTTCAATCTGGTCTATAGTCCTGACTGTGTACATCAGATTCTAAAACCCAATGACGGCAGTAAAAACACCAATGAAGATATTCAAAAAGAATATAAAGCGTCCATCTAAGATACACCGTTCGGGAATCGAACCCGAGCCGCTTGCTGATCCAATTTGCAATTTCTCATGGAAGGCAAGCATGATAACCACTTCACCAACGGTGTTACACTGTTGCAGTAAATCACCTAAGTTATGATGAGCACTTCGGAGTTCGTGCCCTTTGTTACACCAATTTCCCGTTATCAATAACTCCTCCATGTTTGCCCGACATTCTATAAATTGTCAACGTTCGTGTATTACAAGCTACAGTAGATAAGAATATGTATGTATTCGCTTCGAAGTCCATGCAACATACATGTACAAGCATAATATTAACATAATCATGTCGTGTCACTGTAAGAAAATAGTCCTAGGATCCCTTGCTAATCATGTAAATCGAAGTCCGAACCATCTCATGAATATCAATCATTTCTCCGTCGAACCAGAATCAGAAACCACCCTTACGCCCAAATTCGTGATATGAGAACTCGCAGTAGAAGCCGTTTACGGGAGGCCGAGGTTTGCACGAATGACATTCTGCAAAGTCACCCCATCGTCCTGGAACATATCAGCCATCGAGACCAAATTGCGTACATGAATGACATACCTGATCGAGAGACCAAGTGAAGCATCCTGCCATCCCATTCTGCTTCGCGAACGTAGCCTTGTCGCCCAGAGAGAACGTATCGTCATAAGTGACCACCGTGGATTGAGAGGTGTTGAAAAGGAACTACGACACGGTTTAGCCAGTGACATTGAAAAGAGAATTCATATTCTTACCGGAGTGTCACTGCAGTTATCCCATCCTATAGACAGAATGCATATGAGCGCACGAATATAGTCGATTCTGAATGGAAGACTTTACCTTCCGTGAATCCTCCTCCACCACCGTAAGTTCCATCCGCATTCTTGACCAACGCGCCCGACGCCACGATTGAGCTGAAGGGAATCTGCTGACCATACCAGCCCTGGAGGTTGGCTGCGGCCGCGGTATCATGCTCAATCGATCCTCCGTTCGTTGACTTGCTCTTCTTCTTTCCTTTACCTTTACCTTTCCCCGTCCCAGCGCCTCCGTTGATCTTACCATCGTCTGCTTGGCCTCCAGTAGATTTCATGACTGGGATGGTCATGCGGCTTCTCGCATGAGATCCAGGTTTGGCCTTCAACGTGGTAGTCCCATTCGAGTCGGTCTTCAAAGCTTGTTCCAGGGTCGAAGGATCAACGAGGCTGCCGGTGAGTGCAGTTTTGGTGCTGTTGGAGACGTAGCCGTACAGCGGGAGTCCTAACAGCATCTTTGAAGCAGGGAAACCTGCCGCTCCCCACTGAGCGAGTGCAGCTTGGGCACTGTATTGGGGTAGACTGGAAGTACCGCAAAGGTTACCGAGCGGAGCGTTGGGACCTGGAGTAGAAGAAGATTGGAATATATCGTAGTTCCTATGTAGGAGGAAATCAGCCAATACTGCTTTTTTCGAACCAGGAATCGATACGGACATGATATTGATGTACGTCATCTGGGCAGCATAAGCAGACACGTCAGTGAGTGGACTTCCGTTCGAACCAAGCCAAGGAGTGTCGGGGACAGCAGCAGATATGATCTTGGATGATCCTGTCGGTGGCTATCAGTCTGAACTCAATTCGTAAATCGTGGAAGCCTTACCCAACGCAGAACGAAGTTGAGTCAAGAACGTCAAAAGGTTTGCGGCATCAGAAGGTGAGTTGATGTTCCCTGCTCCAACTTCATTCGGATATTCCTGAAATTCACGTTCGATGCACATTCGATTAAAAACGTTAGAAACATGACTGACCCAGTCAATGTCAATCCCTGGGTAGAAAGCATCAATCACTACGTTTCCAGCGCAGGGCAAAGGAACCTCGTACCATCCAAGCCAAATGTATTGACAGCGCTGACAAGTGTGTTCACGAATGTCGTCCTATTGGCAGCAGAACCGACACATTGAGAGAAATATACGCTTCCGCCCCACCCACCTAATGCAACGAATAAGTACATTTGTAGGGCACTGAGCGATTAAAAGTCACTCACCGACCGAGAGAACGACTTTGGTACCAGCGCCACTATTACGAGCAGCAGTCACTGTTCGAGTAAGCATGTCCTGACTTCCAGAGTCCCAGTTCAATGTGTTTGAGGAGTTCGGAATCGCGAAAGCTGGCATGGGCAGCGAACGTCAGTGATCGTCATAACGCGGGTGGAGACATGTGACTCACCGAAGAACAGGATAGAGAATCGAGTATAATCCAAACTCTCAGGAGGAAACGCAGACTCGCTCCAGTCTATAGCATTGAAGGTCAGTACAAGTTGGATCCTCGCGTACGCAGTCAACTACTCACCAGGATAATAAGCGGCAGCAATCAACGTCGCGTCGGCTGTGACTTTGCCATCAGTCGCAACGGCGACTTCCCCATCTCCAGATAGTAACTGCGATTTCAGCTTGAGCGCACTCTGGCGAGACAAGGTCGATGGCAACGCGTCCTCTAAATCAATCTTGGCGTGAGTGATTCCGGATTGATTCGTCTCGTCCGTAGAGAGAAATTCGTTCACAGCGGGTGCGTTATGATACATGGGATGAGCTAGAATCGCAGTGAGATATGCAGCGAGACCAGTCTTGCGTTCTTTGATGAGAACGTCGTCCAGCCACGCAGATGGAACGAAAGACGTGACTAGGATACGTTTGGGAGGAAGAGAGACGGCTATGTCTTGACCAGGTTGAAGCGCGTGATGAAGAGCGAGGAACTGTAAAGGCGATTTAAAAATTTGCACAGGGCGAGATGAGAGTGCATACCTCAGAGTATCTCTTGTTCACGACGACACGATTATCACCGCGATTGACCTCTACGGTGTACAGGATGTGAGGGCGGGGTGAAGATGCTGTCGTGTGCGTGTCGATTGAGACGAACGGAGAACTCGCCATGGCGTAGAAATGATAAAAGGGTAAAAAGACGAAGTGATGATGATGGTCGTTAGTGCCACAGAGAGGCAAGAGATGAGAAATTATCCGGAAATCGCATCTGGAATTTATATGAGTGAGCAGTGAGACTCGTCATAGACATCAGAAGCATGTCCCAGTTCACATGCGTCCAGATCATAAAGATTGGTTGCCGCGGTGTAGCAGGCAGGTAACCAGAATGAGACATTTTTCGCCTTTTTCACATGATTGAATTCTTGACCATGAGCAGAAGAGAGATCCCAGGCCAGTTGAAAAGTCATGGTCATGATACATCCTTTGAATTCATCGTAGATACGCATTGGCCGGCTAGGCCTTGTATAGCGAGGATCCTCCGTTAGCAGTGTTACAGGACCAGAGGTTGAGTTCATTAGGTGTATTCCATCTTCTTCCAGGACGATCTATCATGCTTGAACAGAATTGAAGGTGTTTCGATACTAGCATCCATTCGAGTAAACAGATCTAGTGAGAGTCTGCAGTGCCAGGAACCGTGCTTCAGCTCAAGCGAACAGGAGAGAATCTGACGTCCTTGGTCCCTTGTGAGGCGACTTTGAGGGTATAGAGAGTGTCTCGGTGTTTTTTCGAGGTCGGCGGTGGGTCTCGGTGAAGAATGCTCGACGCGATCCTATCAGTGCATCTGGTCCTGATATTTGAATGGAGTCAGAAAAAGATCTCGGGACATAGGAAAAGATGTCAACCTGAGTTACACGATGCTACGGTATCGACTGATTCCCAATTTCTACTAGTACAACTGGCCGATGCCAATGTCATAGCAGGAGATAATCGGAGATGTAAAGGCCATAACTTAGAAGCAACTTGAGCGAGAAGTTCACACTAATGCTAGCTATTTTGCGGAAGGAGGGAGCTTTTGATTCATGCAGGAAAAAAACTTGTGTGCAGCTTGTTTGCAGCAGTGGGCGTCGATTGGGCGTCGACAACGTTGAAGTCGAGAAGAACGAATGTCACGGACCGGTCGGTTCCGAAAGTTGTAGTCACACGTGCTATACACACGCGATGAGTCAACGTGCGGGTGACTCATCGATCCCCATTGTTCAGTTCTTCGGATTTCACTTTGTACCTCCATCTTCTCTTGAACCCGCTTGTACCCGCAACTTTCACCCCTCGTAAGTCCTCCTTCCGCCGTTATCGTCGCGTTTCGTAGAAACCTTAGCTTCTTTTTCACCGATCTCTCATCATGACGCCACATTCAGAGATATTCTTTCCATTGCCAAGAGCAATGGCTGCGTCTTGCTCAAACTCATACACATGGGGCGCTACCGCTTTCTTACCGCCTCCGTCGTTCGCTAGAGACGCGCTTCCGCGTAGCACTCTTGACTCAGAACTGACTTATTCACGTGAACGCAGGCAGCCGCATTCCGAAGTAACACCTCTTCAACTTGAAGATTATCTGTTCAGTTATCAAAATGCCCTGACCGCCTCATATTCATCGAACCTCTCGCTTCCTTCTTCCTACGCTCCCACTGCTGTGTTCATACCATCCGACGAACTGCTTCATCAACCGAAAACAACTGCTTCGTTCAATGGTATATCTAGTATATTCAAATCGCCTTACATCTATTGATGAGCTTCCCAGCTTCACACGACAAACTTTCCAATTTTGACTCGCTTCGCCGCAACTACCTACAAATGCTCGCAAACGAACCCACGTACAACAGCTTAGCTGATAATTTGTGTACAAAATCCCTTGCGGACTCGGACCCTCAAACAACGGATCTCCAAGAGGACCCGCAATTGTCCAGTGCATATGACTCCTTCAGTACGCAGCATGACTGCTGATATTCATTTGTCTCCTGTGCTAATACAGTTTCCAGTCGCTTCCGAATTCCTGAGAGAAGAGCAATACACAGATTTTGTGTCATCTTCCCCGGACGCTTCCCCCATTTTAGACAATCCGTCTTCTTCCTCTTCGTTCCAAATTCCGATCATGAAATCGTCTGACTCTTCCCAGTTTGGTCAAGTAGAACGTGATTCATTAGGTCGTGAAGAAAATCTTATAAATACTCCTACGCAGGTCAAGTCTGCTTTGAATCCTTCAACTCCCGCAGTCCTTATGGGGCAACAGACCACCAAAGAGTCCAATGGACCACCCTCTCTGGACAAGCCTACAAACCTCAGGCTCTCCATGTACTATCCTGAATTTGTCT